CACACACACACACACACACACACACACACACACACACACACACACACCAAAGGCAGCCTTTCCGCCAAGAGAACAGCTGCTTAGAGCCAAAGATGCTTTCTCTTCAAGAACAGCACCCATAAAGGCCGTTGAGATGGCTCAGTGAGTAAAAGTGCTTGCCAACAGGGTGACGGTCTGAATTCAATTCTCAGAGCTCACAGGGTGGCACTGACTCCTGCAACTTGTCCTCTGACACGGCTTCAGCCATATGTACTAAATAAGTGATTTTTCTGAAAAAGAAAAAAAGAATAGCATTAATGACAAACCCAAGCCCCAGAGAGGACAGGGTGAGGCATTGTGGGTATCTACCTCCTCTTGCTTCTCTCAGAGCCTTTTCTCCTTAAATAGAGGCCAGCATCTACCCTCTGGGCAGGGCTGGGGACAGCCTATGCCTAGAAGTCAGGGACCTGTGTTCGAGACTTCACAGGGATGGGTATGAGCAGGAATCACATCAGGTGTGGTCTTGAGGGCCACAATTGAAATTAGGTTCAAAATACCTAAGTGATTTCTATGTGACAAGTATTCTTCTATATATCTTATATGTATTACTTTATAATTCCCTCAGTCCAAAAAAAAAAAAAAAAAAAGACTTGGGTGTGGTAGTCTTAAAGCCTGAGGGGGATGGAAGGTTCAAGGCTAGCCTCAACTGCATAGTAAATTTGAAACCAGTATGGACTATGTGAGAGAGAGACCCTGTCTCAAAAGAAAGAGAGAGAGAGAGAAAGGAAGAAAGAAAGAAAGAAAGAAAGAAAGAAAGAAAGAAAGAAAGAAAGAAAGAAAGAAAGAAAGACAGGGGCCAGTCTGTAATCCCAACATTCCAGAGGCAGACTGGAACTACCTGGCCAACCTGAGCTACACAGCAAGGCTCTCCCTGTCCAAAACTAACAAAGTAATTGGCCAAAAAAAAAAATTAAGTCCAAGTAGAAATGCATTATTATCTTCATCTCACAGATGAAGCCACTGATGCAGAGAAAAAATGAAGTGCCTCGACTTTAAGTGCCCTAGAGAGCCAGGATAGGTTTTTCTGTGTGGTTTGGCTTGGCTTGGATATTTTTTTGTTGTGTGAGACACATAAGTTCTGAGGCATCCAAAGATATAACTTCTCTGAAAGAGCTGTTAGCACAGGTAACTGGAGCTGTGGCTATGGGGCCCCACCTACCCTCATCTGTAACCTGTAGCAGAGAAAGCCCCCCTTAGTCATACCAGAAGACCACTTACCATGTCCTCAGGTCAACTCTGAGCCCACTGCATAGGCCAGGACTGAATGGTGCTGGCTTGAAGTCTAGGGCTCTATCTAGCCTAGGACCCATAGCTCCCTCCAAGACGGTCCTCTCTCAGGCTACTCAGAAATGGTCAGGCAAGCACCCACAACAACTCAAGTGGCCCTATTTATTGGATCTCATGGGTGCTCTGTTTCCAATCCCTACAGCTGATGTCACCCCTAGCCCAGGGTCTGTTCCATCGGGCCATTTCCCAGAGTGGGACTGCCATACTGAAAGTCTTCATCACTCATGATCCACTGAAGACAGCCAAGGTGGGCACCCCTCCTCTCCCAGAGCTCAGCAAGAGGGCAGAAGGATGGAAGCATCCCTGTACATCCCTTCTCTTCTACAGAAGGTTGCTCACCTGGCTGGCTGCAACCACAACAGCACAAAGATCATGGTAGAATGCATGAGGGCTCTATCGGGGGACCAGGTGATGCATGCGTCCAAGAAGATGGTAGGTTGAACTTTTGCCTTCCCTGTCAGCCTGCATACTATAGCCACCCACTGATACTTCCCCAGGGAACCTGTCCACGGAGCAAATTGGAGAAGTTTCTTTTGATTCCTATCTTTTCCTCTCCTTTACAGACATTCTTTCATGTCAACACCCAGAAAGAACCAAAAGATGTGAGTAAGCAGTGGCCTGTAATTTGAGTGTTTATTAAATACCTACTGTGTGCCAGGTCCTCAGGATTCTTGAGGGACTAACTATTCAAACTAAATTCCCTTCCCTAGTAAAACTGATGCCCCACTGGACAGAGACAAAAAAGTCCTATAAGTAAATAAACGACTCACTTTTCTATAAGGTAATAGCAACAAGGGGAGGAACAAGGCATGGTAAAAGTTGTATGATTTTAAATAAAATGGATAATACATGCCTCAGGGAAGTGATGTATTATAAAGGTTTTCAAGAGCTAAAGAATGACCTACGTGGATACCTGGAGCAAGCATCTGAAGTCTGAGTAGCCTGGTCCTGTCTGTCCTGGTCCCTCCCCATGCTCACCTTCCCAAGCATCATTATGGGCAATCTCAGAACGAACCTGCTGAGCCGAGCACCCAAGTCACAAAGGCCCTCAGAGGACATGTGGGATAACTGGTTGGAAAATGCTCCTGGCCTTGCAGATTGTATGGTTCCTGAGCCCTGTGGTGGATGGTGTGGTGTTCCCAGAGGACCCCGTGGTGCTCCTGACCCGTGGGCAGGTTACACCTGTGCCCTACATCCTCGGTGTCAACAACGGGGAGTTTGAGTGGACCTTGCCTTTTGTGAGTGGATAGGAAAGGTGCTCGCCGCCATGGGTCTGCAGGGGATGCCCTTCGGCAACACTTGGGTTCCAAGTCAGACCTCAGTAGCCCCACTGAGAATGCAGAAGTTTCCCGCATTCCCTGTGCAGGAAGAGCTGGCCGTCAATGATGGAGGGGAGTTGGGAGAGGGAGGGTCAACTCCTGAGCCTGCAAACAACTCTACACCCTAGGGGCCTCCTTTATTCCCCAGGTCAGGGCAAATGCTCTAGCTTAAGGTAGGCCTTCCCAGCTCTGCTTCAGTTCAGAACCAGGTGGCAGCGACAGACAGTGAATAGGACAGGTTTGGGGTCTTTCTTGGGAAATGTCTTGACTGAGAATTCTACATGACCTGTAGCCTGATCCAGGATTCCTGGGTCCTTCTCTTGTGAGCAGATCATGAAGTTCTCACTAAATCGGCATGTAATGAACAAAATCTACCTCAACAAACTGCTCTGGAGTGTCAGCATGCTTCTGGTGAGGTGTCCCGTGGGTGGGGCTGTTCACTGCGAACAGGGCCACACCGTACCCCCAACACACACACTTCTTTAAAAATGTAGGTCCTGCTCTATGCAATGGGGTCCTGGGACAGGATGGGATCATTCTTAGAGAATCATAAAGGAATTTGACATGGAACAAAATGTTTGCTGAAAGGCAAGGCCTCTGAGGCACCCTTAGAGTCATGGGAAGCAGTTCTCCTGTGGCAAAAGTGGGGATAAGAACCAATCAAGATGGAGCCCTTCCTAGAAATCCCATTCCCCAGAGTGCTGGGGAGCTGAGGGTGGATACAAGCCAATGGTGTCCCCACCCCGGCCCAGCTGGTACAGCAGGCCTCAGGGTGGGTCTTGTATCCTGGCCCAGAACATCACTAAGGAGCAGGTCCCACTGGTGGTAAAAGAGTACTTGAACGATGCCGCCAACAAACATGACTGGAAGATGTTCCGGAACCACCTAATAGACATGGTTGGAGATGCCACCTTCGTGTACTCCACACTTGAAGCCGCACACTACCATCGGGGTAGGGGATCCCTAACAGTGACCACACTGCTCCCCTGCACTCTCCAGCTGCACTCCTTCCAACTGGAGTTACCAGCTCTGCCCCCAAGCTCTCCACACTTGGAGCTAGTATAGGACTCCAAGAGGCCACAGGAAACGCAGCAAGCCAGAGAAAGAGCTGTTCCTTAGGGACAAGGGCTGAACCTCAGCCACCCTAGAGGAGAAAACTGGGCTGGCAGAGGCAGTACCTAGGGTAAAAGGATAGGCTTAATTAAGAGCATCTTACAAGCCAGGCTGACTGGGCTCGGGAATATGAGGATGAGAGGTCAAAGGTGAGGCTGGAGAGGACAGTCATTGAAGATCCTTAAGGACCGTGTCCCAGATAGAAAGCTCACAAGAGGGAAGAAGACAGCTTCCATGATCCTTGCCATAATCCTGCCAATTAGGTTTTGGTGTCTCCAACTCTGCAGATGAGGAACCCCAGCTCAGAAAGTTTTAGTGACTTGCCCATTGTCACATACTGATGACCAGTGCAGGCAGAATTCTAATTTGCTCCGAAACTCTAAAGCTGAAGCTCTGCCTGGTGTTGGTGGGTGGGATGCATGGGGGAGATGGGGAGCTGGGGCAGAGATTTTCCTACATTCCTGACCCATTTCATTTATTCATAGATGCTGGCTTCCCCATCTATCTGTATGAGTTCAAGCACCATGCACCAGGCGTAATTGTCAAAACTCGGAGTAATGTAGCAGACCATGGAGACGAGATCTCCTATATCTTCGGAGGCCCTTTCTCCAAAGGTCTGAGCGCCCTACCTAACACCCAGTCTTCCCGCCATGTATGAAGTCCCACACCTCCATTGGCTGACCACAGGGAACTATTCAGTCCCTAGTGTGGAATGTCCTCCCAAATGCAGAGTGGGAGGCTGGCACCACCGGCTCTCTCCAAAATACCACATCCTCTTCTGCCCCCAGGCTCATCCACAGGTGAGGAAAAGGAATTCAGCCTCCAGATGATGAAATACTGGGCCAACTTTGCCCGCACTGGGTGAGTCTAGCTCCTTACACATATAGACAATGGTAGGCCCACGGGAAGTACACAGTCAAGCCTGGGCCCCTCTCCTTTTCATTGTCAGTCGTGAGATTCTAAATGTCCCTAGAATGTTTCTCTTCCATCTCACTATGCACAATCTTCATTCACTCAACCATCCAACTGACGTTCTCCTTTGTATCTGACCCTAGTACTGGAAGCTGGGGTTCGAGGATGTCATAAGCATATGCTACATCCTCCTCATCCCACCATATGAGAACAAAATTCCAAGCAGGTACAATAGGAGATGTCCCATGGGGAGCATGGGGCCATAGCATCAAGGAGGGTCTGGCTCTATTTGAGTGGCAGAGGTGGCTTCAAGTTAAAGGTGGCACTTGAACTGAGCTTTGGGCCCCCCGTGTATATTTCCCCAGCCCTACCTTCTCTCCTCCATCGTCCTGTGGCACTGGAGGAGTTGTTCTGAAATATCATCTAACCAAGTTACTCACTTGCTTAAAACCCTTGCTCATGTCCCCAGAGTAAAGTTCCATCCCCTTAGCCTGGCATGAAAAGCCCTTCGATTTTTTTTTTCCTGTATCATTATCATTCTTTCTGCACACCCAAGCTATTTATACTCACCCAGATTTACCTAACCTTTTACTGCCCGGAAGCTCATTTCTCCCACCGCCTTTCTTGGGCTTGCTATGCACCCTACGCCGGCCTCACACTCACGACTCTCCTGCATTCATCTCCCAAGTGCTGGGATTATGAATGGTCCCCATCACACCTAGCTCTTCTGTACTTTCATAAAGATCTGTCTAAGTATCATTGCCACAAAGCCCTCTCGGATCTCAGTTCCCCAAGTAAGGGTAAGAGGTGCAAGCTGAATAAAAGGGAGTGACAAGAATCTCTTTCCACCTCGGGGTCAGGGACCCCAATGACGGAAAGCTGCCCTACTGGCCACGCTTTGACAAGGATGAAAAGTACCTGCAGTTGGATTTCGATATGAGAGTGGGTGCGAAGCTCAAGGAGAAAAAGATGGCATTCTGGAGATGGCTGCACCAGGCTCAGAGATCATAGAAACACCAGCCATACTGAGAGTGACCAAGCAAAAGGGGACTATCCTACCATCCCACCTCAAGAAGACTGGTCCTGCATACATCTGAAGACAAGAGTCCTGTAGAAGACAAGAGATCTGTAGAAGCTCCTGACTGCCTTCAGGCTAAAGCTAGAGCCCTAGCCCACCATTTGGGGCTGAGCACCATCTGTCCAGCCTGACATCCCGTGACACCCTGTATTTCACTATCTAAACCAGGCCAGGGCCTTTCATCACACTGTGCTCCACTCCTCCCAGGCCCAGCCTCAGAGCAAACTCTTTTCTCCCGTTCCCAAGTCCTCTTAGCCTTCGTGATTTATATCTGCAGCCCCTCTTATGGAAAGTTCACACAGGCTGCCACTTTCTGTCATTGCATTCTGCTGTCATTGACCCTGTTCAAACTGCCTGCTCTTTCTGGCCTTCGGACCCCAGACAATCTCTTCACGATCTGGTGCAAAGCTTTGATGGCTTGGGATCTGTTCCCCTACCCACACTCATCCCCCTCCCCCAGGGCCCTTCCAAAGCCTGTACCTAGAGATGGTGCTCAATAAAAATGAGTTGACTCGATCCCCAGTTTCTCTCTGTGTAAAATGGTTGGGCCCTTGGAGTAACAGAACACTGCTGTGCACTGCTTCCGGGGTTGCAGTTGCCAGAGGGGCTGAAGCAAAGTTGTTTGGACTGCAAAGCATTGAGCTGTTGGTAGATGTGGTGGTGGATGCTGAGCCTGTATGCTCAGAGTTTGGAAAGTGGGAGAGGAGGATCCAGGTGTCCTGGGATATACTCAGCCACACAGCCTGAGTCCAGCCTAGATGACAAAAGACTCCCATCTCAAAAACAACAACCAAACAGAAAGAAAGAAAAGTGTGGCTTGTTTCTTCTCTGTCTCAAGTATGTCATTCTTCTCCCCATGGGTATCAGACCACCACACCTACCCCCTGCTCACATCCATTTAGGTCTACCCTTCCAGCCTCCTCACTCTCCTGGACACAGCCCAACCTGCCCCACAAAGTTTGTGCTCTCTCTCTCTCTCTCTGTGTGTGTGTGTGTGTGTGTGTGTGTGTGTGATTTATGTGTGTGTGTTACTGTGCCCCTGTGAATGTCAGAATACAACTTTCAAGTGTTGGTCCTCTCCTTCCACCATGTGGGCTCCAGGAATCAACATACATCATCAGACCTGGAAACAAGCACCTTTATCAATTGAGCTACCCCTTCAGTCTCCTACTTTCCTTTTAAAATTGTTTGACTTAATTTTTATTTGTGTGTATGTATCTGTGTGTATGCTCCACATGTGTGGCTGCCCATGGAAACCAAAGGAAGATGTCAGATCTCATGGATCTGGAGTTACAAGGAGTTGTGAACCACATGCCTGGGGTGCTGGGAACTGAACTGGGGTCCTCTGGAAGAGCAGCCAGTGCTCAAGTGGTCTGCTGAGCCATCTCTCCTGTCCCCAGACCTCCACTTTCTGTCTTCATGGATTTGACTCTTTTAGGCAGCTTACAGTTATAACAGAGGCTCATGTTTTTGTCCTTTCATGCCTAACATAATGTCTATGGGGTCCATCCATATTGTTGAATGAGACAATTTTGTTCCGTTTTAAAGCTGGAAACCTTATGTACATATATTAATATTTTTAATCCATTACACGTTTGAGTTGTTCAAAAGAGGGTAAGAGTTGAATTCTTCCCACCTCTTGGTTACTGTGATAAGGCAGCCACACGTGTATGATGCTCCACTGTAACAGAAAATAGACTTGATACATCCTCTGAAGAAGGCACTTTCATTGACTCAGTTCAGAACTCCCCTCCCACTTTTTCAAGGAGGCCAGACTTTCAAAAGTTCTGTGATTGTTTCAACTACTTCCAATTTCAGCAAGAGCCCTGCCAAGTCAATTTAATCAGAAATCCACCCCCAACTCAATATTTGATCACCCTCCATAACTAATGGAGTCCCTCTTCCTACACATCCTCCAGGTGATGTCTGAGCACCTGGGCCTGTCTTCAGCCAGACTTGTTAGGTAAGTGGTGCTGGAGAGAAGGCTCAGCATTTAGAAGCACTGGCTGCTCTGCCAAAGGACCCAACTTTGGTTCCCAGCAACCCATCTCCGCCTCCAGTTCCAGGGGATCCGATGCCCTGTTCTGGCTTCTCCAAGTAGTGCAGATACATGAATACACCCAAACACATAAAATACATTCAAAATATTTTGAAGAATTGCTAGACACCTTTAGCCAGAACCTCTAATGCTTCTTGTTAGCATTTTTTTTCACCCACTGACCACACTGCTTTTGACTATAAATCCCCACTTATTTATGCTATATTGGATTTGAGCCACATTTCTCTCTTTTCCACTCTGCAAAACTCCATTGCAAAGATCCTATGTTTTTATTTCAATGACCTTGATTGTTTGAAGCCTGCCTGCATTCCTTGGGCTTTAATTTTTTTTAATTTATTCCAGTTTTAAAAGGTTTGTTTATTTAGTTTTTGTATGTGTGTGAGTGTTTTATTTGCATGTATGTGCACCATGTGTGACTTCAGAGGTCAGAGGAGGGTATTGGATCCCTGAAACTAAAATTACACATCGTTGGAGCCACCATGTGGGTCCTGGGGGTTGAAGCTGGGTCCTCTGCAAGAGCAAAACACATTCTTAACCACTGAGCCATCTCTCCAGCCCCTATTATTTATCCTGTTCTTTGGATAATGTCTCATATTGTAATCCAAGTTGACCTAGAACTCACTAGGTAGCTGGGTCTGGCCTTGAACTCTTACCAATCCTCCTGCCTCCAAGTTACTCACGTAAATCATCACAACCGACCTGATTTCCCTTAAACACCCGTCTTTAAGCATGTTCATCCAGACCTAAGGAAGGGTGCTTATCTTGCAAATTCGAAGAAGTGCAGCTGAACAGAAAGAAGAGCTCAAACTCCAGCATGGCCGTGGCTGACAAAATAATAAAGGACTCCAGGAACCCTAGGACCTTCAACCTCCCCTGGGGTTCCAGGCACAGAATTCCAACGGGCAACCTGGAAGGGAGCCAGGTGGACTGCTGGCTCCATACCCTCTCCATCCACCTCTCCATCAGCCAGCTCCTTCCCAGACTGCTACCTATGATCTCTTCCCGTCTCTTTACCTTTGCCTGCCAACCCCGCAGGGATGGGTGAACTCTTCACGGTTACAAAGCCAACCCCTGCGCAGCGAGCACTTGTTCCAGACGCCCACCTTAGGGCTGGAGCCTGGCTTCTGGCTTCCGGCTCCGGAAGCAGCCCACACCCCCCCCCTTCTTCTCCGACCGACACCTCTACACCCGAAGCAGCAATTAACAGCCAAAAAGGCTGGGAAAGGGCCAATTAGTGCAGGGCACGTGGCTCTGCCACCATTCCTGCTGACCGCTGGCCCCGCAGCATGGCAGCTGACTCCTCTTCACGCCCCAGGCTGCTGCTATCCAGAACGGAGCGGGTCTCGGCCCTCCCTGCACACTGACCGCACCAGCTGCCTGGGAGCTCCGGGGACGAGCCATCTGGCCTCCTGCCAACTGCAGTGATGGATCCCATCGCTGGCTCGTCTCCAGAGCCCAGGCGGACTCCGGGGCGCCTGGGCCTGGAATGCCCAGCGGCTGGTGTCAGGGCAAGAGAGGACTCCTGAGCATCCCACCGCTTCTGCCTCGGAGCCAGTCACCAATTGATCCTGCAGCAGCTAGTACGTTGAGATAGGTCAAATCCAGTCTTAGGACTGCCACTGAGATTCTAGCTTTCTTGGGGCCCTCATCATTTCTCTGGTTCTGGGTTAGTAGTGCCCAAACCAGTTCCCTGATGATGATGGAGGTAGAGCCAGGCTTTGGAAACCCACAGTGAGTGCTTGTTCTTACCGCTGCTAAAGTGAAGCAGGCACTACGGAGCTCAAGGTCCTCAATACTTCTAAACGAACATATGGATTTCCTGCTCTAGCTCCCAGCCCTGAACAACATAATACCTGTGTATAGACTTTGGACAATCCCAAAGGGATCGGACTTTACCTCCAGGTGTCGCAGGGTACATGGGCAAAGGCTCCCGGGGGTAGGGGGAAGCTTCACCAGATAAAGAGACCTGAGATCCGGGAAAGTATCTGGTGAAGAGGAACTGGAAGAAGAATCATGGGGGCCTGATGTGGTGCGCCAAACGCTTCAGGGTCCTTCTAACATGACTTTTGCAGCTGCTGTTGGACATGCTGGGGCCTTAGAGTGATGGCTCCAATGCCTAGGACATAGAATCGTAGGAGCTGAAAATTCTCAAAGGAGCCAGGGGAAAGGATGTAGAAGGAAGGGCCACAGTTGGGTTGGCCTCTCGGATCGGCCTCAATGTGGGAAGAGCTGAGTGCCTGCCACGTGTTCAGCCGTCTCTCTCAGGCCAGGTCTCCATACTCTTTGGGGAAGAGAGGATCATTCAAGGAGTTGGTACACCTCTTTTTATGCCATTAACTGTGTAGAGAGGAATCGATGCCTGTGAGAAATTGGGACTGGAGACTGATCAATGAAGGCATACAATGGCAACGAGACCACCCAGGGCACTTAACAGAGCAAGAGCAAATCAATGGGTGGGAAATGAGGAAAGAACCAGAAAAAAAAAAAAAAAAAGACAACGGAATGATTGGCCAAGAAAGTCAGTGAGTGAAGGAAAGAAACAGAAGTTGGTAAACATACAGCCACAGAGGCAGATTAACAGAATTAGGACAGTGCCGAGGACAGTCAAGCTGGGAGAGAACAGTGCCCAGGTGCTTGGAAGGTGGCAGCAGACCAGGTTTCCCCCCACCCTTCGGATTTTTGAGACAGGGTTTCTCTGTGTAGCCTTAGCTGTCACTTATTAGACCAGGCTAGCCTCAGACTCACAGAGTCTGCCTCTGCCTCCCGGGGTGCTGAGATTACAAGCATGCACCACCTGATCCAGTTCACACACCGGATTCTTATCATGGGTGGTCACTGACAGAGTCTGGGTGGAGGAGGCTGGAATGGGTCCGCCGGAAGGCCATGGACCATAGAGAAAACCACCTTACTTGAGTAGAGTAGACAGTTTAGGAGGGCTTTTAGAAGGAGCATTTAAAAGGACTAGAAGGGGAAAGTGGAGGAACCAGACATGAGAGAGCAGGCACGCAGTGGCAGTCGGAGGGGAGGGCAGGAGCAGAGGTCTTGAGTCAGGCTCATTTGTTTCTGGCAGCGTGGTTCAGTTGGTGCACCAGGTCCATAAGTCTGAAGGAAGCAGAAAACCCTGCTCTGAAGCACTGGAGACAACAACAGGAACATGTC